GCGACGCAGCACGCGCGCACGGTGGCCCGCGGATGCGGCCCACGCGAGGCCGGCCTGCAGCGCGAGACGGCCCGCGGCGGGGGAATCCCGCGCGCTGGCATTTATGCAAAAGAGACCTCAAACTTTTTTTAAATCACAACTAAGTACTAACACTATTTTCCCCTCTCACAGGCCTTCTCACTTAACCCCCCGACCTTTCCCTAATTCACCCGCGCGCACCCCCAGTGACCCAAAGTATGGCGTCGCGGCGGGCGGTGGCACAGGGCGGCTACGTCGGCCACCTGGGGCTCACGCTGGCCCGTCGGTTGGTCCGACCTTCAACTATGGTCCAATCACCTACGTCGAGCAGCAATGCAGGGCGGTAGGACGTGCTGGAGCGAGCTATAGCGACGTGCGACTGTCCGCGGCGGCGGCACACCCATTCCGATGAGCTAGGGCTGCTACGGACCTCACTGGCTAGTGCTTGAGCATTAGGAGGCTACCATGGGCCAGGAAGAGGTGACGGTTGGAGTGGAGGATGGTGGAGGAGAGGTGGCCACGTGCGGCCAAACCGTGCGGTGGCGTACCGCGGTGGCGTGGTCGCATCAGCGGCGATGGGGAGGCAGTAGCGGTTCCGCTGACGTGCGTAAGGTGGAGAGGGAGGCAAGGCAAAGCAAGTAGTGCAGGTGAATTGGATCGGGGCGAACGGTAAGGGGGGTTGCCCTCGTCCGCGACCGGACGCGGCCTTACCGGTACGACGGCAGGAAAAAGCGCCAAATTGGAGCTTGGTAGTGCCTTCTTCATGGCTGGGTGGGGTTGGGCAGCTGGAGAACTTACTAGCGGGGCCGTAGACGGTCGGAATTGATTAGAGATGACCTCTCGCTGTCTAACGTGCTGGCGCGGCTCCGACGGCGGTAGTAGAGAGAGAGACGGGGCACGACAGGTGGGCTCAGCTCGGGCTCGTCTTGGTGGGACGCGGTCGGCGTGATCGTGGAGGCACGAGCGCAGACGCTACGGACAAGCGTGCACGTCCACAACCGGCATGGCCCGCGCGGCCGCAGTGCCATAAATGGCTTGGTGACGGCGAACTTGACCACGTGCGCGCGACATCTAACCGGGCCAGCAGCAGGGTAAGGGTACAGTGGACAAGCGCGAACATGACGACAATGTGACGGCAGCGGCAGCGGCAGCGACTACGGCGCGGCATGAAGCGGGTTGACAGTGTGGCAGCACGGCGAGGCAGGCGGCCACGCCACTCGGCCGTGCGAGCAGCAGCAGTGGCTCCACGCGGTAGGGCCAGTGGCAGCCAGGACAGGGCAGTCGCAGCCGGCCACGCGACGCAGCGTGCGTGCGCGTGTAGAGCGAGCCGGCGTGGCGACATCGCGCCCCCAAGGCGTGGTTACCGCGCTCACTCGGTGAACGGACCCGAGAACGTGCTGTGGACGAAATTTAAAGCTCTTATAACAACTAAACGGTTGTTTCTAGACCTAAACCATCTTCACCATGCTCAAGATGGCATATGAGGCTACCAAACAGAGCTAAATAATGACATCTTTCCTTAACCCGATTTCACAAAATAAATTCCTAAACATTGCATTGTCTTGCTATCTATGAACTTGAAAATATTCTATCTTTGGGCTGAACTTGATTCCAAGTTACATTTCTAGGCCATTAGAAGCATTAGCTAGCGAAGTTATTTTTCAACAGCAAGGATTTTATTGTCATCTACAAAGTCCATACTCCAAACTTTATTTAAGTGTCACACACATGTTCTATAATGCTTTTGCCTACTAAAAATTAGTTTTCAACCCTACTTGATATACATGAGCTATTGAATCAACTTTCATTTAACACTTTTATTAGTCATTTTAGGTTACAAGAAATTGATCTACACATTTTATCAAATAAACATAATGCTCATGATATGGTTTAGTGGTTTATTTAGGGTGTAACACCGAGGATGTTATAGGCTATTCACCCCCTCTAACCATTATGACCTTTCACTCATTCCTGTGTTTTTTTCATTTCTCTGTATTGGATTCCTTTGTTCCAAACAGGCCCAGGTACTGCTAAAATTAGCTATGTCGTCCCAGCTAATAGTTCAAAATAAACTACTCCCTCCGTTTTAAATTGTAAATCGTCTTATCTTTTCTAGATACATTGTTTTAATTATGCACCTAAATATACATTATATATATAGAATATATTAAAAATAATATATCTAGAGAAGCCAAAACGACGCACAATTTGAGATTGAAGGACTATTTGACTAGTAAAAAAATAATTAGCACTATTTAGCTAACAGTTTATTTGAATCCACTAAAAGGTGAGTGCACCGGTGGTTTTGTCTATGTATCCTTTATTTTTTGTTTGCTATTGGTAGGGCAATGTGGCTGTGGAGGGTAAAATTGTCTTCTTTTGCAATCTATTATCTAGGTTGGAATTGATACTGGATAGTTTTTAGCTGGGTGCGTAGTTAGCAATTAGGTGGGTTCATTTGGAACCATCATGGCTAATTGTTAGCATCTAACAATTAGTTAGTGGATCAACCAGGTCTAAGTATATTAACTATTAGCTAGAGGATCAAACAAAGCTTAGCTAGTAGCTTCGCTAGTAAAAACCTGCTAGCTGGCTACCGATTACCTGTCTTGATCAAAATAGGCCATTATGTGTTATTTACGAAGCGAGCTGGCCGCAAGGGACCCAAAAACCATGGCGGATAGCCATTCTTCGAGTCTCTTTGTCTTCTTCATGCGCGACATCCTTGCTCCTTGCCCCCTTTTGCTCCCTCCACCTTGTAGGCACAACACTCCAAATTCATGCCTCCTGAAGCTACAAGAAACTTTACTACTCCAATGTTTTGCCCTGTAACCGTTGACCTCCATCATTTCTCCTCAAGCTAGAACCATCACCTTAGTTATGGTTTGGCCTGTTATCACCGTCTCTCTTCTTAGCCTTCTAGGAGTAGTTTCGACGGTGCCAATGTGCCATTGCTTCTAACGTTAACCACTTGGTAGTTGGTGCCGACACCCCAATCGCCTCTATCACCCACTAGTGTCTCCCACCATTGTGGCAAGTGGAGACTTCCATGGCCTTCACCTTTAGCTCCGGTAGCCATGCCACATCACCTACCAAACATAAAATCCTAAACCCCTAGCAATTCTAATCATGAAGCTAGAGCCCTTCCATCAGAATAAGAGGTTACTTTATTCATCGTTTATCAGCGTCTTCCATCTTTTATAGCCATCAGTTCCTTCTAATATGTGTTGCCGGATACCTTTCCAAATCAAGAGATCTCTCTTGTTTTACTTCCTCCAATTCTTAATATAAGTTTATTTAACTTTATCCTAAGTTAACCTTTTGTTTTGACCATGAATGAAAAGTTGTGCAAATGATATTTTTACTGTATATCTAGATGTACTCCCTTCATGTTGGTAAAAGAAGTCATTTTGGACAAGGTTTGGGTCAAACATTGGGAATATAAATCACGAATAACTTTTAAGTTGTTGAATTTCGAAACGTGAAAACCATATGAATAGATTTGTCTTGAAATATACTTTCATAAAAATATACATATATTACTTTCCAATAAATATTTTTATAAAAATAAGAAGTCAAAGTTATGTTTTGGATACCGTGTTGCTGTCCAAAACGACTTCTTTTACCAACCTGGAGGGAGTAGTGTATATCTACGTGCATAGGAAAAACTACGTATCTAGAAAAGCAAAACATCTTATAATTTGCAACAGATGGAGTATTTAAAAGGATATATTATTTGTTGAAGTGTAAGTTTGGAAGACATGTCAATGCCCCATTGGACTTATATACATTTATTAAAAGGAAAATTATTTTCTACTCGCAGGGAGTAGTTATTCCCATGTGTATATCCCTAGATTTAGTACGTATATGGTCCGATAAAGTGTATGTAGACGGAGTATTTGATCATACTAAACTATCTAGAGTAGTATGTATGTCAAGTATGCAAGTCATAGAGTATATGGTTATACTTATTTTATATAGTACTACAGTAATATTTTAGTAATATATTAAAAAGTATGGGCTCTTTTGAAAAAAAATCGCGTACTAAGATTTGAAGTATCTTAAATTGAGGCCCCGTTTGGCAGGGCTTCTCCAGCGGCTTCAGGAGCCGTTTGGAGCTGTTTTCTGCCAAACGGGGTAAAATGAAACGGCTCCACCGATGAAGCCCCTAAAAACGTGCTCTCACAGAGCTTTGGGGTGGGAAGAAGCCTAAAAATAGTGGCTTCTCCTGGCTCCTCCTACAGGCCCCTAAAAACATGTTTTCACAGGGAAGCCATTTTGCCAAACGATTTACCAAAACCGCTTCAGCTCCACCGGTGGAGCTGTTCGTGGAGCTGAAGCAAAAAAAAATGGCTTCACTAGTGAAGTGAAGCCCTGCCAAACGGGGCCTGAGTATATAAACATATTTAAACTGATAAATTAGTATGTACACATACGTAATGTGGTTTATTGAAGACGGAAGTAACTACTCTCGCGAGTAGCAAAAATGCACCCTTTATTAAAATATATAGAAGAGAGTAGTTTTTTTAATGAAATTCTCATAAAATTGATTTTCTTTGACAACACATAAAATTGAATTGACCTGTTCAAAAAAGAGGCCTAGCCCGCTAGCCCTGAGCCGTAGCCAGTAGCCTCCTTTGAAACCTCGCCGCTCGCACCCACCGCACGGGTGACGGCCCAGCAAAGCTGCCGAGAACAGCGCGTCCGTTTTCAAACCTTTTCAAATTCCTCTCCTCGCAAGTCGCAATAATACCGTTCATTCCACAGTTCCATCCTCCCTCCCTCTCCGGCGGCTTCGCTTCTTCCCTCCCGCTCTCCCCCTTTTAAATCAAACCCTCCCCACGGTCCTCCCTTCTCTATAAACCCTAGCGAAGCCAGGGAGCGCGCACTCCACTCCCCAACCCGATCCCCCCAAGGTCGCGTCCGCCGCAGTTGCCGCCTCATGGCAACCCCGCCGCCGCCGCCGCTCCCGGCTCCCGCCCATGCCGCCGAGGAGCGTCTCCTGCGGCTCCCTTCTACAGGAACTGCAGGTTCATCCGACCCTGCGACCCAATGCTTCCTTCGTTGTTTGATCTGCGGTTCTGGCCAATGTCAACTGGATCTTGTGTGTCACGTTCTTGACCGGCTATTCTTGGTGGGTACGGGGTTTGGGCCTGCAGGGAAAAAATGGGTGTTCTTCGGCGTATAATTTTGGGGGATCGGGCTCCGAATTTGGGGGTTTCGTGGTTCCCGTTCTTGATTTTGTAAGGACGCGCTGGAATTGAGTGCCGATTTTGTCTCCCTTTCATTCTTCTTGGCCGAATTAGTGAATTTTGGGCACGGCCATTGCGTTTCTTGGTGTTGAAGTTGAATTTGCGCCATGATGGTTGGATCTTGGGGACAAAGTTGTCACGATCCGGTAATTCCCTGTTTCCTGGTTCTCTTGGCACCAATTCTGGCCTGGTTTGTCATCTGCCGTTGCGATCATGATGATTCATTCATCGTCTCACTGTTCTCTTTTAGTTTGCATCCGTGTTTCCGTACCTAATGGGGAGTGCATTCTGATTGTATTTGTCTCTTTCTGTGTCGCGTTGGATGGGTCTCTCTCTACATCCAGTTCGGCTTTGCATACGGTACTAAACACCACAATTTTGAATCAGGAACTATGGGGAGAAATTGGTCAGGGTGAAATGGAAAGAGATAGGATGATACTGCAATTGGAGGAGGATTGTCTCAATGTTTACAGGCAAAAAGTGAATCAGACTAGGAAGCAGAAGGCAGACCTGCTTCAAGAGCTGTCTTTTGGTGAAGCTGATATAGATAAGATCCTTTCTGCTCTTGGAGAGAGAGAAACCTTTCCCAGGGTAAGTTTTTCTGTCATCATTCAATTTCTGTGTTGGTTGTAGCTGGTAGGCTTTAAAAGTTTCTGTGGTGGTTGTAGTTGTAGTCTTGTAGACTTTCAGTTTTCAAACTGACACTGAGAAAATTTTTATCTGTTCAGTCAGAGAAGCTTGGGGGCACATTGATGGAACAACTTGCCAAGATAGAGCCAGTGCTGGAAGATTTGAGGCGCAGGAGGGATGACAGAGTAAATGACTTCAGGGCTATTCAGTTACAGATAGTTCGATTACAAGCAGAAATTTCAGGAGCCATTGATCATGGGGATCCCGCTGCTCCTATGGTGGATGAGAATGATCTATCCTTGAAGAGATTAGGGGAATTGAAGGAGCAACTTAATGATCTTCAGACAGAAAAGGTTGCATATCGAGCTTTAAAATTTTCTTTCCCAGGTTGCTTAGTTGCCATTCTTAAATTGATTGTTTTAACCTTTTTTTTTTCAGGAATGCAGGCTGCAAAAAATTGACATCCAGACTAACAGTATTCAGGAAATGTGCAACATTATGTCTATTGATCTCAAAAAGGCACTAAAGGATGTTCATCCCAGTTATGCTGAGCTGGGAAGAGGCAAACCCATGAGCATTAGCAACGATTCACTTGATAGACTCTCGGAAAAAGTTCATGCGTTAAATCATGAAAAGAAACAAAGGCTTTGGAAGGTGCGTATATCGTTCAAGCTAGTTATTTCATTGAAACATAGATCAGCATATATATTACTGAAATACGTTCAATCTCACGTATTTCCCATTTTTTTCCTGATGTCAACCACACTAGCCATTGAACTTGATCTTAAAGAACAAAAAATTTGATGAAATTTGCCTTAGAAAAGTGTCAGGTTACTTTACTGTTTTGTGACAAAATCATATATTTTCCCAACACCAAATATGTCATGTTACATTTTCCTCATCCCTGCACTAAATATTCATAGACTTTGACCCTTCATTATTTAAATATAAAAAATATGCAAGTAAAATATTAAAACTACTCAATGCTCAATAAAAAACTATGTTAGTGGCTCAGTGTTTACAATCTTGAAGTCTAAGATATTGGAGGCCACTGCCTTCAAACCCTTGGTTTTGTTTGTCACTTGCCATTCTGTGTCTAGTGACGGAGGAGTAATACTTTTTTTTTCCAGAGCATGGTTAGCTTGCTTATTCCTCACAAATTTATAAAATACATTGCTTTTGCTATCGATTGTTATTTTTTTTACCTATTTGACTTAAACCTTGTGAGTAGTTTGTTTTCGGTACAAAACATTTATTCCCTGTGGTTCTCTAGTTATCATCCTAAATGTACTTTGATAGTTTGGGTTATATATTTCCGTTGTGTTCAATGTGCTGCATCATTGAAATTCACACTCTATTGCAGCTCCAAGATCTTGGCAGCACACTCATTGAGTTATGGAACCTCATGGATACACCAACTGATGAACAAAGAAGTTTTGACCATGTGACTTCTCTTATTAAAGTCTCACCAAATACAGTGATGCCCCCAGGGTGCCTTGCATATGAGCTTATTGAGAAGGTAATTGTGTTGCCCTTCAGCCCCCCCACCCCCTTGAATCTTGTTGATGTCAATACTTCAAATTTATTCTAGTTCTTATACAGAATCCTTCCCCTCCTCTTATATAGGTAGAGACTGACTCATTTGAAAGCTAGCAAAATGAAAGAACTAGTCTTCAAGAAAATGACTGATCTTGAGGAAATCTTTAGAAGTGTTCACATGGATATTAATAGTGACACAGAGCGGCGAACCCTCAGTGATCTCATTGATTTTGGTTAGCTTCTTTGTTGTACTTTCATTTCATACTGAAGTGCTTTCCTGTATTTTGCTTTTGTTTCATTCAAAGTTCCCTTGATGCTCCAGCTGGTTTCTTAGCTTGTGGTGTCCAGTCAAATTCCGCCATTGCCATCTATGCAAACCTAATCTGCCCTTGGCTTTGTGGAATTGCATTATGATTTGATGCTCGTCTTCTCAGTCAACATTCTTTGCTGTTAATGTGTTAAATAATTATGTATCATTGTCCATACTTGTACACAGTATAAGCTCAAGGTCCTATGTCTAGTGCACACCACCATGATTCTGCAATTGGAATATATATTCTGTTTAATTTATGCTCTGCAGTTCAAAGGAATAAAAGAGATAAGAAAACAAAACATTATAATGAATGAAGACATTATCCTTCTTGCTGTATGCTGCATTTTCTAGTACATTTTGCTTTTTGTGTTGATGGTCATTTCCAATTTAATTCTACCCTGTTGTGATGTTGTGTGAATTTCTGGTCACTTGATTTAATTCTACCTTGATTTCCCCATTCTGTATTGAAATGTTTGAACTAATGTGATAATTCACTCCTCAGTTTACTCCATGGTTTCCTACGGCCATTTAGTAGCTGATTCAGTAATTCAAGAAAAAAACAAACTTTGATCTGTAGGTAGAGCAGATCTTTCAGAGTTGCTGACAAGAATGGATATTCGAATTGCGGAGGCAAAAGAACATGCATTAAGTAGAAAGGATATTCTAGAAAAGGTGGAGAAGTGGACATCAGCATCTGAAGAGGAGACTTGGCTTGATGAATACGAGAGGGTAACATAATTTGTTTATCGATCCTTAGTTGCTCTTTTTCAAAGAGTTCATGAATTATACATCAAGCCTAACAATATTACAGTGCCATATCTGTTCTATACTTGCACCTAATTTACAACCTCGATTTCCATTCCAGGATCAAAACCACTATAATGCTGGCCGAGGAGCTCACATAAATCTCAAGTGTGCGGAGAAAGCTAGGACATTGGTCAGCAAACTTCCATGTAAGCTGTATACTTGTTCATACCTCTACTGAAAAATATCTAAGAGCTTAAATGCCCTGTACATATTGAATAATTTTCGTAGAACATTCCAGAAGGCTGCAGTATCTTATATGATTATCATTTGGGGTTGTTTGGATAATAGATACAGCAACTTAAGGCTCTTATTGAATAATTTTCGTAGAACATTCCAGAAGGCTGCAGTATCTTATATGATTATCATTTGGGGTTGTTTGGATAATATATACAGCAACTTAAGGCTTCAGACTATGTATTGACTATGGGCCTGTTCACTTCAACTTCTTCTGACTGCTTTGCAAGCTGTGGCTGCACCACCAAAGTCACGTTCCTACGAACAGGCCCATAAATTTTATAACAAAACAACACACACAACTATAAAATAGGAAAAACCAGTTTACAAAAGATTCCTCTGCAGTGGTTACCATGAGTTATAATTTTTTTTTTGTGTGTGATCTGTGTTGTCTGAGCAACTTGTTGTGTTTGACTTGTCTATTCTCCGCCTCCATGCCATTCTCACAAAAAGAAAAGGACTATTTCATTCAAGTGATCTCTTTTGGAAACATGTGTTACACACCTCTATTAGTGACTCACATGTTCCCCTATCTCAAGTCAAATTTACGTTATAGTTTAGGCCCGTTTTTAACAGTGCAATTTCATTACTTTCAGTTATTTGCTGTTGTTGCTTGCTGCTCATTCATCTACTAGTAGTCTGTAAATTTTCAACTTGATCTTAAGTCTTGTTTCATTTTACAGCTCTTGTGGAGAACTTAACTGCTAAAATTAAAGCTTGGGAAAAGGAGAAGGGTATTCCATTTATGTTTAACAAGGCAAGTTCAATTACTCATTGTTCTTGTCAAACAAAAAGGCTTGTTAGTTTGAAACTGTGAATAGATCTGTGCTTACTTAATTTGGTATACTCATGTGCAGGTGAGGCTGTTGGATTGTTTAGAAGAATACACCTGTACAAGACAGCAAAAAGAAGAGGAAAAGCGTCGATCAAGGGTTGGTTTTTATTTTGCATATCTTCTGTTCCATAAAGTCCTCGTTATGTCAAGCATGTTATGTTTTTTAGTTTACCTTCTTAGCCCGTTTTCTTTATAGCTATGTTTTTTTTATGGAAATGATACAATACTTGCAAAACTCAAGTCCAATGATGTTTCGACTGTTTTCAGGAATTGAAGAAACTGCCAAGTACAGATCAAGGTGCCAAGTTTGTTACGAAACCTATCCGTCCTCTTTCTGCAAGGAAGCCTCTTGGGAGCTCTAATGTCAATAATATCGGTGGAACTCCGACCGGCCGCCGTGTTTCTACCCCTATGTCACGGAAGTGTAGGCCATCTTCTGGAAGGGTGCAGGAAGCTGTGAAGACTGCTGTGGCACCAGCAAACTATGTTGCCCTTCCCAAGGAGACTGCTCAGACAATTCTTTCCTTTGAAGTGTAATCACCACCTATAAGTTGAACCTAGTCTGACCATCGTTTATCTTCTCACTTGATCTGCCAATATAGCCTTGACTCCAGTGTCCATGCGTGTTTTCAGACTTGAAAGTTGCTACCCTGAATAGTATAATTTTCTCTCTTTTGAATAGTTGTAAAATTTTACGGCCTGTTTCTTTTGGGTGGCTCATACCATCAAGTAGAGCCAGGCTTAGTTTGTGGCATGGTGGAGATGGTTCAAGGGCCAGCTTTTGGTAGACTTGGTAGAGAAGAGAGTTCAGATGATGATATAAATTGATTTGGTTACCTACACTGAGAATGTGGTAGCATAACCACCAACACCAATATTTCTGTCTTGTGGCTCGCAACGAGCCGTGCTATGGAGAAAAGAGGGTAAATTCCAGTTTCTGCGCTCCGGTGCAGCATTTTGCTGCTTTAGGGAGCGTGCCTGATAGAGATCTGTATACTGTACACATATCTTCTAACCAAAGGGTATGTGGTGTTTTTCCCATCTCTCTTTAGCCCTTGTTTACTTCTCCAAAAATGCACTATGCAAAAAGAAGATTTCTCATCACATCAAACTTGCGGTACATGCATGGAGTACTAAATGTAGACGAAATAAAAAACTAATTGCACAGTTTGTTTTAACTTTGCGAGACGAATCTTTTGAGCCTAATTAGTCAATGTTTGGACAATAATTCACAAATACAAACGAAATGCTACAGTGGAGAATCGTGCACTATGCAAAGTTTGCAGCCGAACTAAACGCGCCCTTAGTACCTTCCTGTCCGAAACGTCTATCCAGGTTAACAAACACTGTTGCACTTGCACCCCGCTGGATTGGTCCAGAGCTCATGCCAGGGAAACAAAGAGGCAATAAGCTTGGGTAATTGCAACGGGAGCAACATACTGATAGGCACCGAGTACATGTTCTCTTCAGGTTTTGCAATTGTACTCCTCAAGTGTTGTTGGTGTGCATGAAGAAATCATGCAGGTCTACCACGAGTAGTTGGCTAGTTGCTACTCTATTCGGTTTCAGTATGTTGCCTCATTCAGTGCTCAAACAGTTCACAGGAAAACTGGCTATGTACGATTTTGTCTGACCTATGAAGCAAAGTGTCTTGCCATTACATGAACAAGATAATTTCGCCTTTTGAGATTCTTGTCACTGTTCTTTCATACTGATCGCAAAACCTTGTTCTCCAATATGCCCATGCTCTTCTGTCGTATTCATTGCCATCAGTGCCATGTTAGATGATCTCATTGAACCACACTAGATTTCAGTGTTGCCTGCCTGGTCATTCCGTTGATCTCAAAGGCAGTTTCGGTGCTGCTTGTCCCCTTTCTCATGTTGCTAATCCAATAGGTAAAGTCACTGAATCTCCAGCTAAAGAGTTCAGTGACATCAGCCCTCAAGATTTGATCCGAAAACAAGATTTATACAGTCGGCATCTGAGCCGAAGTTGCATGTGTTCCTCTACTGAGAACCCTAATGAGATGCAACCTCGGATTAGAGAATATAGTATTCCACAGTAGCTCTTATTCTCTAGCTCACATGCAAATCGGGTTCTGTCACTTTAGCTGTCTTTGTGAATTGTGATATCCTTGTTGGCTAACACAAATTATCTTTCGAATATTGCAAAGTATGTGCAGCGATCTGGAGAGCTCAACTTGGTGCTGGAAGAAATTACTTCTTCCGCTGCAAAACGACGCAGCTGAACTACAGCACTAGCTTTTGTAAAGATAACAACGGTGTAAATTGTTCGTCAATTACGCAACTGAAAGCACTTTACAAGAAAAGTTATCTCAATGCAGTGGAAGTGACTGAATCATTGCAGTGTTTTAATGGTAGACAATGTTACCTGGCAAGTTAAAAATCTGGTATCAGTTAAACATCACCGAATTCTTTGATTTAATAAAAACTAAAAAAGTATCAAGGGTTCTTATCATGTCCTTCTAGGTAACAATTTTCTTTCAATTCCTGGTTGAATACACAAACTTGGCCATCGATGGAATTGCTTTTTAATGGCTCCGAACACTGGTAATACACCAATATTCCATGGAACCAAAAGTTTGGCACTTCTAAAGCACTTCAACAATTGATATAAGGGCCTGTTTGGATCCCATGAATTGAAACCAATATCTAGAAAGTGCTTCCCATTTCATTATTGAATTACTTTCTAGTTCTTCTCAATTTTTGGGAACCAAACAGGACCCAGCCAAACTTTCGTGATTGGGGTAACCATGCTAAAAAATATCATGTTTCAGCCAAATTTTTTGCCCAACTTACAGTGGGTTACTCTTCTCCGATGAGAAAAAGAGGCCGGTTTGGATTTACAGGAATCATACTTGCAATTTGAGGTTGCATTCAGCAACATGTTTTGGCACTTTGGCATATTGCCGGCTGCATGATATGACAAATCCTGCTAATGCCCATGCCGCATCATTTCTGGTTTGGAGCAAGGAAAGGAATCTTAAGAAGATTATTACTACTTAGTATACGGCTCTTATTGTTAGTGCTTTCTCATCCTGTTTTTAGTACTCTACTGAGGTTGTCATGTTCTCATGTAGAGGAGAATATATGGCACAATTATGAGAATATAGCCTGAGTGCGAGGTCACCACTCTTGTGTGTGTGGTTTGCTTTATGATTGCATTGCTTTTCTGTTATTCCCAAGATGTTGACAGATGTTTAGTGGAATAGCTTTGTTTTCCCCACTGTCTGATCAGGCGATAAGCTCTGGAGACTCTATACTAGTCTACTCGTCTACTCTTGAATCAACTGAAGCGAGCATCTTGAATACACAACTGCATGCGCCTTTTCCGTGTTTTCGTAACTGAAAGAAAGCCCCCAGCTGTACACGCCAAGAAACAAAAGGATGCAGAGCTGCAGAACGAAACGTATCTGAAACATCTAATGAGGCAGAGCCCTGTGGAGTCACCTTTGTAGCAGTAGCATTGTTTCTTCTGCATCCACAAGATAACATTCGCTCCAGATGAGTACGGAATTTTACACGACCAGACCAGCTACATAGTTATTTCAAAAAAGACCAGCTACACAGTTCTTCAGCTGAAGATCGGTCGATCTCAAATGGTGAATGCCAGATAAGCCATGCTGCGTCATGATAAGAACCATGCACGACGACATCGCGAAACGTGTTCCGAGCGGAGTAGCAAGTGATGCAGAATCCATTAGCTTGATACGGAGTGGCTTGCTGCTTATCAAGTATGATTGTGTATGGCTCATGTAGTACTACTAGTAGCACATCTGCAAGTTGGTTCTGAAGCAACTGAATGGAAGCCATAGAGGGAACCTAGGAGAGCTTATCGAAATCATGTATAGATCGATTGATCCATGGCCAGGATTTGGGAAAAAAGATTTTTTTTTTCTTAGGAGGGGCATCAAATTCAGGCAATGAAATGGAAGGAAGCCCCTGGGCTTTATGCAACCAACTTGCCCACTGTGCTGGTGCAGTTACAGTGGAGATGGGACCTCGGCTCTCCCTTTTGTTTATTATTTCTGTTAAAGAGATGCATATTGGTTTAGGGATCAACAATGAATCTTTCAAGTGCTTGCTAAGTAGGACTACTTTTTAGGGAATTATTCCCTCAACTCCCACCACTAGGCAATGCTGATTCCTTGAGACTACCCTTGCAAATTGAGACAGGGTTCTTGGAATCGGTAGACATCATGGGTGCCGCCTAGTACGCCAATAGCATATACACATGGCAGTGGAAGCATTTCTTTTGAAGATGCAATGGGAAACAATACTCTCTGATACTACTAATAAGTAGTATATGCCTATGTGCCATTCGCCGCATCAATATGCTATACATAGTGAAACCGCACACTGATCACGTTTGTCGCATATAAAAATAATGCGAAGGATGTTGCAGAGAGATAAAGAAGGCTTAGAGTTAAAAAAACATTTGCCTTTTAGGTGCGCTGAGTTCTTGCTCTTTCAGAGTTCCAGGAACGCTGCTTGCCTAGCTACACCCAATCATATGAGCTGCCTCAAAGACTATGATTTAGTGCACTAGCTAACTTGTGATAGTCACACCTTTGCATAGATGAACTGGTATCTAAATCTAAAAAATATGCAGGATAAATTTACATGATTAAACACTTGTTTTCTGAAAGAAAAAAAAATAGATTGAATCATCAAACACTCTGTTAGGAGCTGAGACACATAATGCTCCAAATGTCACCATTGATTGAAGGTGTAGATGGTAGTACAAGAGGTGATTATCTCAGAACAGCAGCATCTGCTTAGCAGGAGAGGTTACAAAACTCCCCATCATTATATTGCATCCTCCTCAGCTTCCATCTTGGCACTACTTCACTACTACAACACTACTACTACCACCATTGCTTAAAGCATCAGGTCTCCCCACACTACAACATCTATCATGGGGGAGAAGAGAACGCACAAAAGCAGGAGGCTAAAATGACGCCATCTCCTGTAGCTTAAGCCTGGTCCTTGCCCTGCATCCGGGCCTCCTCTGCGGGGACCGTGACGGCGACCACCGCGTTGGCGTTGGCGTTGGTGTTGGCCTGGGCCTTCTCCAGCTGCACCTCGTCCAGCTCCACGATGTCCATGATCCTGCCGTTGCCGTCGACGGCCTTGATCGCCACGGGGATCTCCATGGCCGCCTGTGCCTCCTTCTCCAGGTTCTCTTTGTGCTTACCCCACAGCACCGAGTAGAGGCCGGCGACAATCAGCACGGACCCGACGATCCTGGAAACAAGAAATGACATGCATGGGACGGTTACTGCTTGTGCTGTCTCTCTAGCAGTAGTACATGCATGACGCATGGCGTCCAGCACTTACCCGCCGAGGTAGATGTTCTCGGCGAGGATGAAGGAGCCCATGATGGCGACGATGATCATCATGAGGGGGCTGAAGGCCGAGGCGAAGACGGGGCCCCGGCTCTGGATCACCAGTCCTTGCACGTAGTAGGCAATGCTAGACGTCACTATGCCCTGCACCACAGATTATTCTTTCTTGGTCAGCGTCATGCATGACTCATGACATGTTTGGTGCATGATGTGTTTTGGTGGTCGGAGAGCAGCAGATGCAGAGCTAATTAAGGTTTGGTTGGTATACTGACAGCGTATGCGGCGGCTAGGAGGTTCATGTCGAAGCCGACCCTCCAGACAGAGGTCTGGCGCTCCATGACGAAGGTGACGACGATGGCCTGCAGGGTGCCCACGAAGCAGATGAGGGTGGTCAGCGACAGCGGCGCGTCGTACCTCTTGAGCGTGGCGGCCTGCAACAGTTTTGATGACCAAACAAGATATAGTTAGGATACTTGATTGAAGCCCCAGCGTTCTAGGATCTAGTTAGTGGTGCGTGCATGCATGGCGGCCACTGGCCGGCCATGGCTCGATCGCTCAGAGCTAGCACAGACCTGGAGGATGAAGAGGGACGCCCAGGCAAGGGTGGCGATGATGAGGAAAATGGAGCCCGTGAGCCAGTCCTTGTCGGCGGCGGCGGCCGGGTGCGGGCCGTGCAGGTGCATGTGCTTGGTCCAGACCATCTCGACGACGCGGCCCTTGTAGAGCGTCATGAGCATGGCGCCGGCCACTGTCACGAGCGTGCCCACCACCTTGGCCACGCACCTCGCCTTCTTCAGGTTCACCTTCTCCATCCTGACGATGTTCATTGTATTAATCAGTTGTCACTTCAGTTCGCGTTCGTATCCGCCACCACCAATGCCACAACTGTGTGTTGGCTACTTTCATTGCTGTTTGTGTTTGTCAGTTCTTAGTCGTCCCAGCAGCGTGACTATTCATGTATCTATACCTGAAGAGAACGGCCAAGATGAAGGTCATGGCGGGGAGCATGTTGCTCATGGCGCAGGAGAAGGTCGGCGAGGTGAACTTGAGCCCAGCGTAGTAGAAGTTCTGGTCGATCACCGGCCTGCACACGATTCGCAGAGCCCCAGCCGCATGGTGAGTGCGTCGTCAGAACAGAGTTGTCAAGCAAGAAACAGAACAACTCGGAACAGATTAAAGCCCTGTACCCGAGCAGCGCGAGGACGAAGATCTGGAGGAAGACCCAGGGCGTGATCCTGGGGCGGACCTTGCGCTCGAGCACGAGCGCGAAGGGCGCGATGGAGAGCGTGGCGAAGGCGTGGCGGTAGACGACGAGCACGTAGTGGCTCATGCCGTGGTTGAGCGACACCTTGGTGATGACGTTCATGCCGGCGTACCCGAACTGCAGCGAGATCATCGCCACGTACGGCTTGCACCGCTGCATCAGCGACTCGCCGCCGGCATCTTTGACGACCGCCATTTCTGCCACGGTGCGCGCGGTTCGATCGTGTGCTGCTGGCTGGACCGTACCGAGAGGCTAGGCACGATGGTGTCAGGCGGTCAACAGCAGCAAGCTCTGCTCTGCTCTGGTGCGGCCGGGGACGGAGAGCGGCGTGCTTGCTCGCTTGTTGCCTGACGCCTGAGGTGGAGTGGCAAGCGCGCCGCGGCTATTTATAGGCGTTTGTGCTGCATCTGGTGCCGGTGCCGGTGCTGGTGCTGGTGCTGCGCTGGTTGGTTGGCCGTGGGGGCCAGCGCTGACGCCGCGCTGGCCGGGGGCTTCTGGCTGCATGGTCTGCTGCAAAGGCAAAAGACAAGCTGCCTGCCCGGGGCCTGCTCAATGTCCGGCTTCGCTGAAATTTAGTTTGTGCTAATTTGTTACCAGAGAAAAATCTTTCGTTAAAAAGTACTGCTTTCTCATCGCTGCTACCACTGCCCGCAATCCGGTGCCTCTCAGGCCCTCATCTTCTTGATTTCGTGTTAAGCCATAGCTGTATATAAGAATGTTTTCGTATTAGAGCAGCTCAGTGTTGCTCCGAAGTCCGTACCAAATCAGGAGCAGAGCTAAGGTTCATATATACTGGGAGATTCCCCCCCCCCCCCCCCCCGCACCATGAGTTATAAACAAATGAGGAGGCAAAACAACACAAGAGCTGCCCATAGCTGTAGCACTAGAGTTTAACTAAAACGGCGCATAACAACGCTAGTGCAAGATTCTTATCCAGTCCCTTTTTTTATATATAAGGGGCTTGTTCATTTGGTTGGTCTTTGGTCTTTAGTTTGAAATTTGTTGGTCTTTGGTTTTTTTTGTGAGTAAAAAACACTTTGTTATCGATTTGGTTGAAATTTCATTTGAAACCAACAAAGCTTAACAGTGAAGGTCTTCTTGAACATCTCCACTAGATTGAGAATAGGTAATTGTTCTCTTTAACAGGTAATAAAGAGAATTGAAGGGAGGGGGGGAGAAAGTTGAAACTCACTTGTATGATTTCAGCCGAATCTCAACCGTTTTTTTTTGTTCAATCCAGGCATGGCATTCTTTCCCAACTTCGGTCAAGTTAGAGTGTAAAATTTGTGTGATGGAAGTGTCACATGAATTTATAACATTAAAAAATTTAAATGATTTGGTCCTCTAAATCACTCGAGCATGTCACCCGATATCTGTAGAGTCAGACAAATTGTAGTTATTATCAATTTATACTAGATTACCATTGTATTTATACTAAAGATATAGTGATTATTTTGGTGTAATTTCTATATAGAATTGTTGTAACTATAAACCTATATGAAAATCCTTTGTTTTGTTTCGAGTGTTTGTTTTATTAAATCTGCTATATGTTTGTTTAAAATTTGCTTTTTGATATGTTATATATTTGTTTAAAATCCGTTTGTCTTGTAAAATTTGTGTGATGAATATGGTTGCATCATATGAATTTGTGGCATTAAGAAATCTAAGTGATCACTTGGGTGATCAAAACCAACACATCACTCAAGTTTTGTATATATAGATAAAAAAAAACTCTAGCAAATTCTCTTTCCGTAATTCGTTTCTCAATTCATAAAACCACACCCTCAATCCCTTAAACAAAGGGGACAGCGAATCAATTCCCTTCTCTTTTCTCTTTCCCTCTCTACGTTGTGCTTGTGCATCAGGAGTAGTGTCGGAGGTGAAGCGGCCACACCGTGTAGCGCCGCCGCCGCACTGGGCGGGAGGAGTGGGTGCCACGCTGTCAGACAGTGTTGGGTGGGGGAGTGGCGTGCCGATGCTGCGCAAGAAGCTGCACCCGAGACATGAGACAATGGGAGGAAAGAGAGAGGAAATAGATTTTCTTTTTGACCCATTGACACGCGGGGCCCATATATAAAGGAGATATAATTTTCTCAATATGCTACAGTACAACTCCCCAATCCTCTTCAATCTTGTTTTCTTAGTCCCCCATATCAACATTTTAGAGAAAGAAGATGTTCAATCTGGTGGAGATGCTCATCGTCGAACCTTAAGCCAACCGGTGGCGGATCTAAAAAAGAAAAGTTATGCGGGACATTCTTTCATTATCTTTTATCTCTAGCTCATCCTTTCAAGCGCTAGATCCATCCCTTGGAGCATACTATCAACCAATTTTTTTTCATGCTTTTATATTCTATATTTGCATGAAAATAAAGACAATCTCAATCATGTGTGAGAACATAATGCTTGCGATGGTGGATCCTCCGCTGAACCAGACATAGAGGTTAATTAAATCTTGTTCTAAATGTCATATCTTTGTAAACGGAGTCAGCATTTCTTAAGCCCAAATTGGAAATGCCCAATCATATTCCCACCCCGATCGACACAACAGAGGCGGGAAGAGTGCCGGCGTGGCAGCAAATAGGAGAGAGGCTATGGTATCGGGAGTGGAGGGCGACTCGGCTCTGGTGGTCATTCGAGGTGCGGTGTGACGCCCGCGGCCCACCAGGCCACCGCCCGGCAGCGCGGCACAGGATGGGATGGGACGGCCTCTGCTCGATGCCTTGCGGACGGTACTCTGGTTCCTTTTGTAGCTGACGCTCCAATTGACAGCCTAGGTGTGGGTCCACATGGCAGCGTCCCTGACACTATTGTGCCGGCCTTGACCCTGAGATTCATGCAGAGCGTTCCAGAGAAGCGCTGCACACTAAACGTACTGTCCCGGCAGGTCGATCGCTGCTGACTTGCTGAGGTGAACTAATGAACTAATAGACACATTCAGCGACGGAGCTTGCATGAATGTGCAGGAGGGGCCAATTCAAAGGTACACTGCTACAGTAATTATCAGTAGTAGTATAGATAATTGGAATTCTGTGAAAAATCTTTGTTTTTTCAAGTTCTATCTATATATACTGCACTGAACAATTGAAATTCTGTCAAAGAAGAATGAACAATGTACGGATTTACATACTTGTAAGTTATGATCCACTAATCAGCAACAGCAAACATGGTACGAGAGATGCAGGAATTAATTACATACATGCAGCGACATGCAAACCTATAAAGTGCAGCCAGAGAGAAGGGGGGCAGGACCTAGTTTGGCCCCCACATAGCTCCGTCCGTGGACACATTGCCACGTGAGAAACGAAACGCACAAACAGCTCCCAGACCAGGAGAATGCACGTACGTGTGACACCGCAACGTACGCGATGCTTATTCATTCTATCCGAGTGGCACGCGTGCAGCTGTTGCTCATGGCTGATAAACAGCCACGATCGACGACCGACCAGTGCTATCCGTTCCAGCTACACATGGCAAGCGCCGAATTGAAGATCGATCTGCATGCAAGGTTCATATATACGTACACATCAAGTTGTTGCAGGATTCTTGATGCCGATCGAGAGCTCCCCAGCAGGCAGCAGCTCGGGTTCTCTAGCTCGCCGCGATGCATGTGCGATCAGTGCTGCCAGATATGCAAAACCTGGTCCACAAAGCCTTTTTTTATCCTTGAGCCTCACAGATCCGCGCGCGGGAAATTCCTCAGCTAGCATCATGCGTCATTAGGGCATATATACGGTGCTTCAACAATCGCTGTCTATTGTAAGACTCCATATTAGCCATAGACAATCCAATGGACAAACCACTATATAAATTGTTTAGGAGTTCTTCGTCTAATAGAAATTGTGGCAAAGTTTTTGCCGTCATTTCTAAAATAAATTGTTTAGGAACAATATAAATGATACTCCATCCATCGTAAGACGTTTTGGCTTTTCTAAACATACATAACTTTTACTACTATATCTCGATGCATAGTAAATTAGTATATAGAGAAATCCGAATGTCTTATAATTTATTCTAAAAAAAGAATATCTTATAATTTGCAATAGAGGAAGTATTCCATTATTGAGACGTGGCCATATATAATAGACGATACCACCAAAACTATAAAAACTGTTTTCTATGAGGTGGCGATCCCTTTATTTTGGAGGAATTAAAATTTACATAATGGATTAGGTTATTTGGTTTGGAATTTGACATTCTATAACATTCTCAAGCTCACAAATAAGCCTATCTCAAATTTATAGGGTGAGAGATGAAAATAGATTTTATAGATCACTATGCTATAATTCTATTCTTCAACATATAACGTACTCTTCAACTCACTTCCCTACAATAGAAATGTAACATATTAGTATGTCCCTTGTATGTTTAACCATAAATATACAAATATATTCTATATATAACTATATTAGCTTAATTAATCTATATCTAAATTGTAATTATTAGAATGAATTCAATTCTAAGGATCCAAACGGGTCCTACATGATTTCTCTCGTACCCCCAAACTGTCTGTTAATTAGTAGAAAAGGCAACGAGGCCGGGTTGTCCTCCGGCCTGTTCGCTGGTTGGTTTCTGGGCTGGTTTGGACTGGCTGGTGCTGATTTATTGTGAGAGGAAAACACGGTTGGCTGACTGGTTTGGGCTGGCTGAAACCAACAAGCGAACAGGGACATCATGGTTTGGGCTTCCCAAACGTGGCCTTAGATAGCTAATGCTACCCCCTGTACATTTGTATGGTATTTCCAGGTGATTTCTAGGAAATCAACGACGTCGTAGATTACTTCATTTTTTCTTCTTTTCGCAAACGAACGACGTCTACGTCGTAGACTGATGATTCGCCATCGAGATTCCTCGTGGAATTCACTGGCGGGTGGTGGCGGCGATCCATGGGTGTGTGTGTGGAACATTTCACGGATCGGAGCTCTATGGCGAGTGTAATCTGACTGAGCGTATCGATGCGCTGCCGCCACGGCCGGTATCGTCGCGCGTTGGTCAGTCGTGGATGATACATTGTATCTACGCTCACGCGGTGGCGCCAGGAATCGGTTCGTTGGGCTGAAATTTTTTTATGGGAGATCGAAATGGTCCTCTCTTGGCTAAAAATAATGCTGATGGCCCTGCGTGCGTAATGAAGATTTTTCAGCTGTGGCCTTGATGATGGGACAAAATGCTGTCCAGATACGGCGCGCACATGC